GGAGGGGAGGGGGAGGGGGAGAACGAGGAGGACAAGAAGGAGGAAGAGGCGAAGGAGAAGGAAGGAGTTCCCCAGTCTGAATGTGGTGGTGCACGCCTTTACTCCCAGCACTCAGGAGGCAGAAGTAGGTGGATCTCTGCGAGATCAGGTCTACATAATGAGTTCTAGGGCAGCTGGGGCTACAGGGAGACCCCCGTCCCCCCCCACCACCACCACCAAAAAGAAAATAGTTCTCCCAAGTTTTGACCTGACTACTTTGGTGATTGGAAATACAGGTCTACATAATGAGTTCTAGGGCAGCTGGGGCTACAGGGAGACCCCCGTTCCCCCCCACCACCACCACCAAAAAAAAAAATAGTTCTCCCAAGTTTTGACCTGACTACTTTGGTGATTGGAAATGCAATCAACAATTATGGAAAAGGCGGAGGAGGCAAGAAGACCAACCCGGGGAGAGTCAGGCTAGGCAGCCCCAGGGACTGAGAGCATAAAATTCCTTGAGGCTGAATGAGATTACCAAAGTAGGAAACTGTAGGCAGAGGAAAGAAGCTCAAGGATTAAGCCCTGACACCCCTGGGAATGAATGGTTAAGGAAACCGAGGAGACAGGGCCCACAAGATAGTCAGAAAATCTAGACAGCCCATGTCCCCAGAGCTGAGTGGACAAAGGACTCTGAAACGTGATGGTGGGGTGCCATGAGGGTGGGCACCAGGCAGGCAAGGGCCCAATGTGTGGTGAGGAGCACTAAACCTATAGGGAAAACTGTTGCCCACCCTCATCTGTGCAAGACTTTCACATGCCGGTGTCTCTTCCCATGTCCGTAAGGAAGAACGTGCCCTCTGCCACTAACTGATGACAGAGCAGGCTAGGTGGGGCAGCAGAGAAGATTTGCATCTGTGGCCAAGTTGGTTTTGATGGATGGTGGGTCATTTGAGAAAAGATTAGGAAGAGATGGGATTGGAAAATATATTTGAGTCCTATCAGGCAGAAGAGGAAGTCACGACTGATTCCCAGGGAAGGACTGCCACATGTTGAGCTGCAGCTAGGGGAGCCAGCAGATGGAGAAAGGATGACCCTCAGTCACAGGGCCTTCAAACCCTACCTGCTGACTCCTATCCCTTGATGTGGGGGCCAGTAGGTTGAATTAGCCCTTGTAGAAAGGAAAAGAAGGTGGACGTCAAGGAGGCTTGTGACAACTTCCAATGCTGGGGACCAATCGCCTTTCTATGACTCAGAGTTGTGTCACACGTCTGAGGTGATAGCTGAGCAAACCCAGCTCTGAACAATGGCACTGAGTCCTGCCTGCATAGGCTGGAGGCTGAAGCTGTTACCGCTGTGGGTTCAGAGATACGGCTTGCCTGGGAGGGTTCCATGGAGAAGGGCAGGTAGGGAAGCCATCGTCTGCTGCAGGTTCCCCTGGGCCCACACTGGGAGTCTATCTGGTCCATCTGGGGGCAGGAAGAGTCAGCAGTGTCCCAAGACAGGGGGTTTTCAGTTTTCTCTCACAAGCATTGTTTTTGACCGATAAAGACTTGGAGACTCAGGTCACAGGGCAGGTGGCGACTGGAGCCAGGTTCCAGCTCAGCTCTCCGTCTTCAAGACCCCTGCTTCTTTTCGTGTAGCACCACAGGCTGAGCACACGTGGAAGTTCTGGATAGACCGCCTGCCCGTCACTCCTACTCCTCAAGGGAACACAGGCAGAGTGCCCCATTGCACTTGCGCTGTCCCTCTGTGAACGGGGACAGCCCTGTGCCGCAGGACGGAAAGGGGTTATGCCTGCACTACAGTGCAGCAGTCAAGCAACACGCGCTGCTGTTATCTGACCACTGCTATCATCTTACAGAGGAGCACCTGTACGACTCCAAAGAATAAAGGCTGAAGTCTGGATTCAAAGCAAGGCATAAGAAACTCCAAAGTTCGCCTGAGCTTTTTTCATTCAGTGCAAGATAAGAGAGTGACAACTGGGTGTTTCGGACAGGTGGAACTCATCACACATGCACTAGCCAGATGGGTATGATGGAGCACAGGATGACAACCCACTTAGCCACCAAATCCAAGTGACTGTAGGTGCCCAGATGGGCTATGGTGAGTTCAGCTCAGCCTTATGCTGAGGATGCCTGGCATATGTCAGAGACTGTGCCTGGCCCAGCTGAGCCCTGGCAGGGGCACTGTTTACAGCTGCTGGGCCTAGCTGTGGAGATAGCACCCTAAGAGACTGTGCCCTCTTCTCTCTGACCCAACCTTCAGCTACTGAGGAGGTGGGCTGTGAGATTAGGGGACCTGGTACAGATGAGTCACCCAAGGGATAAGGATGAACTTGGAAGGGCTGGAGCCCATCATGCCCACAATCACCCTGTGGGTGGCTTCTGATAGACCAGCATAATTGGAGAAGGGAGGAAGCCTCAATCAGACTTGATGTGGTGTGTCCAGGCTCGCACAGCTTCAACAGGGGTGGGATTTGAACTCTGATCACGCTAAGATTGAAGCTCTCTCTTCCAGGCCCAGTGAGCTAATAGTGGCTGCTGAGAGGCAGAGAGTTGAGATATGTCACACAAGATCAATGGTGCCCAGGCACGGGAGGGAGATAGCAGGCAGAGGGCTAGGCAGGAACTGATCACAAGACTGGTCTTTTCATAAGCCTGGGAACCGGGGAGGATGGTAGAATTGAGGAAGTTAGTCCCGGGGAACCTTGATGTCAGCCTCATGTGCCCACCCACCAGCTTGCATCTGTCTCCCATTGAAAGAATCATGGGTTGACTGGGCCCAAAGACACCTAAATGGAGTCACTGTGACCTGGGGCAAATCACTTCACCCAGTGAGCACCACTTTGCTGACTCCCCATCCCTGACAGGTGTGCAAGAGTGAATGGAAAGTGGAGTGGTCCAAGGTCTTCTTACAAAGCTCCACTCATGACAAGCCCTTGGCCGACTACGTTCTCATGTGCTCTGAGCTCCCCATCCTCACTACCCCCAACCCCCTTCCTGGGAACCAGCTCTGTGTTTGTCAGAGAGCCAGGCTTCTGTCAACCCCACCCCAGTTAGACAGTTAATGAGTGACCAGAGCTCTGGAGCCTGGCCTATAAGAGGCTGCTGGCCAGGAGGCAGGTGGCAGGCAGGTGGACAGTGGCCGCAGTGGCAGAAACACAGAGGCTGTAAGATGGGAGGCAAGTGCCAACTACAAGCCACCGTGGTCCTGCTGCTGTTTCTGCAGAGCACACAGTGCATCTTCATCAAGGTGAGGCCCTAGTCCCTGCCCTTTGCCTGGAAGGCCCAGGCTCAGCTCAGCCTGGAGCAGAGACTGAGACACCTGCTGGGTGGGGACTATGGGAGTGTCAACAGTGACAACTGATGGGAGAGACCTGTTTATTCAGCTCTGCTCTCTTTTGATACCGGCATAGTCACAGTGTGGAACGAGACGTGGGCCTGCCCTGGAGGAGCCTAGAGGGAAGGAGATCTCTCTAATGCTTCCTTCTCTGTGCCACCCCCCCCAACACACACATAGGGAAGGGATAGTCACAGAACAGTTGCCCCATCAGAGAACCCTTGTGTTCACTGAAAGATGAATGAGAGGTGCCAGGCCCAGGGAAACCTGTTCTAGGCAGAGCAAAGGCTGGGAGAGAAGGGAACAGGAGCTTCGTTGTCCTTCCAGAGACCAGGAGATGAGAGGAAGCCATGGAATCAGGCCTGTATGGTGGGACACCGCTGGCCTTGCCGAACCCTATGTGGCCCTGGGCTTGGCGTCTACAATCTGGCAGAGTCCCTTGGAGAAGAACAGAGGGGTCCCAAAGGGGTCAATAGAGAATCAGTCCAGCCAGATGGGAACTACCATCACTTCACCAGGCCAGTGCAGGGAGAGGACCCGTTAGTCAGTCAGTATGCCTGGTGCCAGCCTCCCATAGAGGAAGACTGAGTCAGATGAGGAAAAGACAGGCAGCCAGTTGGAGGGCAGAGGTAGGATTTGAGCAAAGGTCTACCTGTGTCTAAACGCCCAGGTGCTCCCACGGTGCTCCACAGCCTTTTGTGAACTTCCTCAGAGCCCCTGACAGCCTGTGACATAGAACGCTTCAAATGTTGTTGGTGGGGGATTAACTGCACGCCACTTCCCTCCCTCCAAGCCACTTTTTTCTAGTGTGTCTTGACCTCTTCAAGAGCACAGGGAATATTCTAGAGGACCCATGGACACAGTCTCAATGACACTGCCTAAGCCCTGGCTGGATGTCTCTCATCCCTCCCTTCCCCCAGTACCATGGCTTTCAAGTCCAGCTGGAATCAGTGAAGAGGCTGAGCGAGCTGGAGGGGCAGCAGGTGTCCAGCCCCCTCCTGCAGGCCAAGAGTCTTCTGCCCACTGTGTGCCACAACCCAGCCCTGCCCCTGGATCTCCAGCCTGTCTGTGCCTCCCAGGAAGCTGCCAGCATCTTCAAGGCCTTGAGTAAGCACCCCCACTTTCAGATCTTCCTGCCCCTCGGGCTGCACCCTCCCATCCCTGTCCTCCACAGCAGGTTGTTTCTGTTAAGTACCCAGTGGCTGTGGACAGGGAGCTTGGAAGGTCCCAACCTCTACCCTGCCCAGAACTGCTCCAGTTTGGGCACCTTGAATCAGGTGAATCAGGAACCCCTATAGTCCTGGGAAGTCCCTCGAAGACCTCACAAATGGTGAGGCCCCCTAGAAACAGACAGGCAGCAAGTACATGAAATACATACTTCTAATGGATGAGGCTTTAAAGGCTCCCAAGGGAGGGTGACAACTGAGCTGAAATCAGAAGGATGTGGAGGAGCTGTGTGTGGACTGAAAAGACCAGTGGGCATGTGAGTCCTTGCTCTGGGCAGGCCCTGATCTGTCCCTTTGCCTGTGAGCCCTCTCTCTGCATCCAGGTCAGGTCGATCAACCCACAGAACAGATAAGAAACCTCAGGCCAAGAGAGGAAGTACCTTGTCCAGTCTGCTAGGCAGGACAGCACTGGGAAGGGAACCCAGACCGCCACGTCCCTCACTCTGAGTCCAAAGCTTTCTGCTCTCTGTGAGCAAGACGCCAGGCACTATCTCTGCAACCTGGCCGGCAGCATCCTATGACCACAGACCCCCAAGGTTCAGGTTCAGCTAACCAGCCTTCTCCCTCCCCAGAGACCATTGCCAACACTGATGAATGTGAGCTGTGTGCAAACATCGCCTGTACCGGCTGTGGCTGAGATGGCCCTGGGTGTCTTGAGCTCACCTGACACCTCCCCCGACTCCAGCCCACCTCATCCATACTTAGGCAGCATCACGGTCGTCACCACCCTTCCAGGGCGACAGGATCCAGGACAGGGCAATGGAACACAAGGCTGGCACGTTTGGCCACCAAGCAGCTTCTCCTAAATAAAGATGCTACCCACGGAATCCAAGTGTGCGTGTGTTCATCCCCAGGAACTGAGGGTAGGACATCCAGGGATGCTGGGTGGGTGGAGGAGACAGGCAGGACTAAAGATAGAACGAATTCCCCATCCATGTTCCCCAGACCTAAGGAGCCGACTCATTCCACCCATTTTCCAGGTGAGGGAACCCAGAGTAGCCCAAGCCACAAAGCAGCCCAGACTCCCAAGACCGATGCCCTACACCCACCCACACTGAGCGCAGGATCCTCCAGCTCCTAGGCCAGAACTCCTAACAGGAAGTTTGGGGGCAGGCAGGAATATGTCTCGGGGAGGAGGTCATCACCTCCCAAGCCCAGTGACAGTCAGGAGACCTTTCTTTGTTCTCCCCAGCCTGGTGGCACTGAGTCTCTACCCTTTAATGAGTGTACACTGTGTCCCAGGCACATGCATCACTTAAACACTTAGCCCAGCATCCTCATCACGGTCTGATGGAGCAGTCAGCACTGTCATCACCAGCTCCTTTACAAAAAAGAATGTTCCCACAGGGTCACAGACTCAGCAGGGTAGCCAGGATACCACAGTCTACACTCTGGGCAGTTTGTCACTGCCTCTCCGGGTCCCTGGCTGTGACTGATGAGGCCAGTGGCAGAGCCAGTACAGCCATCTCCCCTGGGTGGGTGGGGGACACAGCCTCCTATAAGGGTCAATGGGAAATACATCCAGATGGTTCTGTTGCACTGGCAGAATGCCTACAGGACACAAGGCTATGACTGACACTGTTCTGGCCTGAGAGATGAGAGGGTGAGAAGTTGGGGCCCAGAGAACTGAGGCCTTCAGGCACCTCAGGAATTGTACTGGGAAGTCCCAGGAATGGGGATTTCCCACAGGCTAGGTTTTCTACTTGGCCTTTGTCCTGAGCAGCAGGGAGGGAGGAAAACAGAGTGTAAAGGGCCCCAGAGAATGGCCCTCAGCCAGAGTGAGTCCACAGACAGCCACCCAACCCTACTGCCTGGTTCTGCTCCTCCTCTCCTTTCTGCTTGCCGGGGCCCCCAGTTCTCTGGGCCCCAACTTCTCACCCTCTACCATGGCTCAGGCCAGAACAGAGCACTCGGCCAGTGACGCAATGTAGCCCTGCCCTGACAGTGTCTCCTACCCTGCTAGGTGCCCCAGTGCTGCCTCTCAAGCCTAACTTGACCAGATATCAGCTGGATGCTTCTCCCATTGACTCTAACAGGGACCCGTGTCTCCACCCACCCAGGGAACTGTCGACGGCAGGGCACTCAGCACTCTGCAGACACAGGGCTGCGTTGCTGCCCCCACACTGGTGAATGCAGCATCTACCACCTGCAACTTTTTCCTTCTTCCTTGGCCTCCTCTTCCCTTTAATATTCCCCTCCTCCTTCTCTCTCCATCCTCCCCTCCTCCTCTTCCTTCCTCCTCCCATCCCCCTATTTTCCCCCATACCCTCAAATCCCTGAATCTCTTCTACTCTCCTCATGTGTAAGTTGGGTCTATTTTGATTCCAGCTGTGAGGCGATACAGCCGTTCTCTGTGCCTAGCTCATTGTCCTCAAGTTTCATCTTCGTCACACATGACTGGTGTCCAATATTTTCTTTACTTTTTTGTTGTTGGTGGTGGTGTTTTTGGTCTGTTTGAGACATGGTCTCCCTATAGCCCCAGCTGGCCTGGAACTCACAGAGATCCGCCTGCCTCTGCCTCCCGAGTGCTGGGATTAACGACCACAGCTCGGATTGTTTTCAATGTATTGCTTTCACACCCTTTAGCTGCAGACCCAGAAGCAGA